TGGAACATAAGGAATGCCTACAAGAGGACACAATTGTTGCTGGGAAAGCATCCCCAGTCTGCCGGTGTGCTATCCACACAAGAGTAGGACTGAGCAGGGCCAGCCGAGTGGCGCGATGGTTAAGAACTGGCTTGGGACGCCAGAGGGCCCCGGTTCGGATCCCACACATGAGGGCCAGTGACACTGCCCTCCACAGCTAAGATGCTGAACAGCTCAACCTGGAGCTGGACTGCTGTGAGTTGCCGGCAATGGTGTAGGCTGCAGCCCCTGTGGTAGTGGGTTGCCATGGACTCTTATGTAGTCAGCAGCCAGCGTGAGCGGCCAGCAGCCGCAGTGAGCGGCCAGCAGCAGCAGTGAGTGGCCGTCCAGAAGCCGGCGACTGATCTGCCTTGCACAGGAAGAGCACAATGATGGTGCCAACTTGGGCCAGTGAAGCAATGTCCTCCACAACTAGACTGAAGAACAAAATGACAGCAACTTCTCTGTTTCCCTTCCCCCAATTCCCCAGCACTGTTCCCCTCCCCCAGTTCCCCAATAAAAAAATCTTAAAAAAAAAAAAAAGAGTAGGACTGAGCAAATACACTAAGGGGATGAATTCAGAGTTTAGTTGGGTTCATATTTCATTCTCAAAAGTCTTATTTGTGAACAGTAGACCAGAGTTTGTTATCCCTACTTACCTTATGAGAAAACTCTGATTTCGATAGCTTAAGTGATTTCATGAAGGTCACATAATCATTTTGTGGTAGAGTTAAGGCTATTATCTACCCTTCTTGACAAGTCCGACATGCTCTCATCTCACACACAGCTCAGGAGCAGCATAGAGAGTTAGAATGCACCATACTTTTGGCTGACCACAGTTGGTCATAAAGGTCTTTTAAAACTTATTCTGGTGAAAATTGTAGGATTTAAAGCAGGTTTTTCTTGGTTACAACTGGTGGATACATTAGTCCCTATTGAAAAGTGAGACCTTCATGTTTATTTATGAAATAATTCTTCCTGTCCTCTTCCTTGCTTCATTTCAAGTCCTGATATACATGATATACACAGAGTATAGCGTCTTGGCTCATTCCTTTCAGTCATATAGAGAAACGGTGATTACAGAGATGGCTAAAATTAATAAATCGGCCTCACTAAAAACTGGTTTGTTTATTGAAGGGGATGGATACAGCCTTTATATTGTATCCAAAATTATATTATATTATTATACTTTATGTCAATTTTGAAAGTTTTCATGTGCACGTAACACTATGGGCATATATATATATTTTTTTGAACTTGTCAGGATCCTGGCAGGAAAACAGCACTTGAACAAAAGAGTCACTGAAGAGCGTTTAATGAAGGGACTACTGATCAACGGATAAGGGATTGGGCATGGCTTTTTGGAGTTAGCAGTGACTGGGAATGGTTATCACTCCTAAGCTTGAAGGTAAGGGAGAGTAGGGAGCAGTTACTGGAACTCAAGACACCTGGACCAGTGGCAAGACCCTCTGATTGGATCTGCACCCTTCAATAGAAAACCCCAAAGGGACATGACCAGGGAAACATATCCCCAATTTCACTCTCTGTGTCCTTCCATCTCCTGCTAGATGTTTCCAGAGGTTGAACCCAAGAGGAAACCAGAGGAGAAAGGAATGGTCCCTGCAATATATAGAAGTCAGCTTTCTGGGATACAGAACAAGAAGAAGGAGGATGCAGAGTGGAGGAAAGAGGCAAATGGAGGACACCCAAAAAAGAACGATACCTGCCTTTCTGTGATTTTAATGAAATGATCTTCCATTATAAGTTCACTGTCACCACCCTTCCTTTTAGGACATATTTAGAAAGCACAGTTAATAACGTTGACCTTTAAGCTAGTAGAGCATAAAATTCACAATCAATATGTAATTTGCACAGGAAATACTTCTTACTCATCTATTCAGTACTTTAGCCGTTTCAGCTTCTTGTGAAAGAACGTAACCTGTCTTTTCTATTTTAAAAACTAGATGGTAATTCTAAAAAATAAAGGGATTCAAAAAGGCCCAAATTATAACCTAAACAATAAATTAACAAAAATTCAGCCTCTAAAATGATAAATTTTAGATTGATTTTGAGCATTTACTTAATAAAAAATAAACAAATGGAACTCATTGCATAAAGTTTTTATTTATAAGGGAGCAGTAACTTGTCAATTGACTCTTATTTATGTATCTTGCATAATTTCATCTATTCTTCAATATTTTTATTAAAATAAATTAGCACTAAAGTGACAGGATGTGACTTTTTTCACTTTCTCTTCTTCTTTGTAATGGTCTGTATCATCAAGGGCAAGTCTAAGATCTCTAGTTTAACTTTTCAGAACAGTTTTTGCAAAAACTAAAGTAAATTAGCATCAACATCAGAGATAAACTGCATAATATGTCAATATATTCAGGTACAATGGAAAAAAAGCAGAGGGTGAAATCTCAATTTTAACTGAGAGAATGATTATCATAGTACTTTGAAATGTATATTAAAATTGTTTTTGTTTTGGAATGGCATTAGCATTCAGTAATAAATGATAATACCATCTCTCATTTATTCTGTTCTGTAATAAAAGGAAATTCATGCATTAAGGTAGCTTGGGATTAAAAATAACAAGATATCCTGTTCTTTCTTTTTTTGAAATGTCTTTCACGACTTCTCTCTAAAGACAAGGTCAAGAAAATGACAAATTTAACTATGTAGATGACTATGATTATGGAATGATTAAATTTGGTCTATCTTAAAATAGATTTTGTAAACTGAGAACTACAAAGTTTGTCTGCTTAGAAAAACCAACTCAAACCCATTCATTCATTAGACATCAAAGTGAATATTGTGTGCTTCTTGCTTTGACAATAATGGTATCATAGATTATTCACAGCGATATTCCACATATTCATTTATGTATTCACTAAGTATACAGACAGGGAAGTAGTATTAATTCAACCCTTAAAATATATGACAGAACAATTAAATTATTTGAAGAAAATATATCTGTTATGAAATGTGTAAATGCTATGAGTCAAAACAATGAACATTACAGCCGTATCTTATTCATTTTTGTATTTCCAGTGCTTTCCACAGAGTAGATGCTTAGCAACATATATTTTTCTGCTCATTAGTTTATTTTCCAGTTTTCATTACAAATGGGAACTACACAATCTTGCATAAAAGAATTCATTAGGCAAATAAAAGGTTCCTTGGTCACCCTGCCCTGCCATCTCACAGCTCCCGACATACTTCCTTCCTTTCCCCAAAAGGCATACTCACCATTATTAAAGCTCAGGGCATTCAGCAAAATGTAAAGCTATTTTTATTTTGAATTTCATAATCTGTCAAAAACCGAGATGATATTTACTTCATGAATTAACAGTTTGTGGGGATAATATGAAAAACAATTTTCTCATTTACTTATATTTACAGGTCTCTCTCACCAATCGCTAGAAATACCTCAGACAGAGGTGTATGAGATTAACGTGTGGGTTGCCAATCAATAGAAAAAGTTGCTTCTAGAGTTGAGGTAGATCCAAGTACCTACTTTTAAAAAAGATGTCCTCAAAGGAAGCATTGTAGGTCTAATGTTTCATCAGAATTATGCTCTCAGAAATATTATTTCAAAATATATTTACTGGGATAGAAAAATTTTGAGACTGGAAAATATTTTGTGAAGTAGAAAACCTTGAGTGTTTTATTCTTTATTGACCCTATCCCCAGCTCTAACTAAAACTAATTTTCAAGTTCTCCAAAACTATAAACTCCAGAGCCATTCATTTTTGCTAATATTGCTCGTGACACATAGCAAGACAAGAATCAAACACCATTCATATTTCCAATTTCCACCAGGAAGAACACAAACCTGCTTCTTCCCTTTCTTTCTTCCCATTTCCTCCCTCTTTTCTTTCTCTCTCAACCATTCTATTGATCTTTCTGTCTTACTTTTCCTCTTCTGCTTTCACACACAGCCCACGAGGAACCACACAAGAAGAGAATCAAAGCCTACACAGTCAACATTAGTGTTTCTACGTGGTGACAAATCATATTAATGAAAAAAGATCACACATCTTCCATAATTGCCTAGGAAATGTGACAGTTACTGAGCCCTGCCCACAGAGCCCACTCCACTTCTGGTATGAAGCTCCAATAGCACCCGTGGTGAATGACAAGTTAACCCCTTTGAACCCCACCGTTTTCAACACTCAGTGGACCTCTCTCATTAGTCTTATAAAATAAAGCACGAAATTCCAACATCAAATCTCATGCTGTTGAATTAACAACATCACATTGCTACCTATGACTTGAATATCTCCCATAACTTTATGACTGGAAAAACACTGTTCAGATTTCATTTACCAGTTTAAAAATAGCAAACTCTAATTTGAAACACATACACACACACACATCGTGCATGCTCACTAATATTCCTTGTTAGTGCTAGGCAAATGTTCCTTCCTATGAACATAAATAAAATTCAGCATAATCATAAGTTTCAAAAGTCAGATTTGTCAAAAGATGATGTTTGTTATGAAACAAATCAAGGAGAAAATATTCCTTAAAGCCAAAATGACAAGCCATAATCTCCTTGGTATAACAATGTCTATTTATCTATTTTTAATGTAGAAATAAAAATTATTCCGTGTTTATTTTGACTTGGAGATCATCCACAGATGATCCCTGTCCAATGAAATTTCTTCTTCTTGGATGGGTGAGTGCTGAGCAAGGCAGATAACAGATTTTAAACATCTTAAAATGGTGTGATTTTTTAAAAAAGAAACCATGGTAAGATTGTCTTCAAACTTTGTCACTTTGTAGATCCAGACATAAACTAAAAAAGAAAATTAGAAAAGATACACACAGACTACTTTAAGTCAACAGCAAGTCCAAAATGATATCACTGTGCTCCTAAACAAGGAGGGGTTGCTCTTTGTACACGGCAGAAACACTCATAATACACAAGGCACTCAATTAAATTTTGATAGAAGTTATCTCACATTTAAACTCACCGCTGGATGTAAGGGTCGGGACAGTACTGTAGGGTGGCACACCGGGAAGTTTCAAAATTCATTTCCTTCAACTCTCTTTGATATCAAGTGGAGAACAATTATGTAACATATACACATATACCTGTGTGTATAGATATAAAACCAGGAGGCTAAAAGCAATAGGGTCAAATGCTATCAGACATAGAAGTTTAGACACTTCCCCCTTCACACAGATTTGCAAAGGGGCGGAGCATTTCTTGGTCTCAGCCAATGAGATTCATTCATTAACTAAATCATCAGAAACAGTCAAATCTTACCAGCTGGGCATCCTCTCTTAAGATGTTCTTCCCCTTCTGCCACGGCTTTAGAGTCCTTGATGTATAGTGGCCACACTTCTTGGCAACTTGGAGGCATCTCTGAACTCCTGGTCTCTCTGGTGATTGGATGCTGGCATGAATGGCATCAGAGTTTAATTTCAGCAGCTTGGATTTTATAACAGAACCGAGTTGATGAGTGTCCACCCTGCTCCAGCTAATTAACAGTTCATTGTGTCTTCAATCTGATTTGATTTGAGGACTTCTGTAACTGCTTATGGGGCTAAATTGTTTCCAGAGCTGCTTGGGAAGGATGTTTTTTTTTATTCATCTCCACCTCCCCCCTAATCCCCACCCCCCTTCATTCTCCCTTTCAGCCAACCGCCTGTTGTGGTCACAATCTCAAATAGCAAAGACAGGGAAATTCCTTGATTATATTTAACCTAGAACTCACTCTTCCTCTCAACTAAGAGAAAGAGATATCCATTCATATCCCCTTAGAAGATTTGCCTTCTCTAAATGAAAACAAAACAAAACAAATCTTTGTTGAGTTTCTTAAAATCCTACCTCAAACTCACACACACACACACAAACACATACACAATTTTCTTAAGGTAATATGAAAATGAAAAATAATATATTATTTTAGGCTGTTTTGCTGTTTATAAAATTAGTTTAAATAGCCTGTTAATGAAAACATTCTAACTAATTTCAGTTTCTATCAGTTTGTTTCAGTCTCATGGGTCTTACTATTTTTGCTGGTTTGGTTTTGCTTTGACTATATCTACTCGGGAGTAAAATCATTAAATTGTTCATATATTAAAAATTAACATAATATCAGAAAAAGTCTACATACAGAATAATATATTTCCTTTCAGAATACAGGCTGTAAACCTATCCTGGTTTTGTGGATTTGGAAATTGAATGAAATATGATTCAGAAGCTAAATTAAAATAGCCTCCAACAGAAAAAAAAAAAAAAGTTTGTGTGCCCAAGTGGCACTAGCATGGCAAGTTCACATCTTCTATTCACCCCCTAATCACAAGTCACCTGTGAAGTGGTTACATCAGTTGTTCTCAAAGTTGTGAAACAAACCAAAGTTCTTTTCAGAGAAATTTGACATTTCATTATAAGAAATGCAAATTCAAAAAGTATTTAGTAAAAAATATTTTATTTGTTGCTCCAGCCAGGATAGAAGGGAGAAGCTATTTAAAACTTGACATTCTCTTTCCTTACTTAGCCTGAGTGTCTAACATCTGTGAATTGTGAAATTCACAAACATGCCGGCCTGAGCCCCAGCCAAATCAAACAGCTTGTTCTACAAAATGTGAAACTTGAAGTGCAGATCATTTTACTAATTAATTATGGATTTGTTAATTGGAGGTAAAGTGTTTGGCTTTATTCCTTGCTATTGAAAAATACAGATGACTGGAATATACAAAGCTCTTAAATTGAAACTACTCCATTTCCTGTGACCATGGCCAAGTTGTTCCCTCACCCAGGACCTTTTCGTTTCCCATTTATGAAACAAGAAGTAAAATAATGATCTCCAATGCAGTGTTATTCAAATGTGAACGCCCTGTGAGTTACCTGGACCTCTGGTTAATGCAGATTCTCTTCAGGAGGTCTGGGGAGGGGCCTGAGGCTCTGAATTTCTAATGAGCTCCCAAGTGCTGATGATGTTGCTGGTCTTTGTATTACATGTGAGTAGCAAGACCAGTGCTCTTGTCAGGCCTAATGTTTACTAACTTCCAGGAAATGAGTAGAACTCTTTTAAATATATTAAATTACCAGCAGAGTCTCTAGACTCCCAAATAAATTATCAGTTTGCAAACATACCTAACATGTTCTTAAATTCAAAAGGTTTATAGCCTAATTCATTTATAGAACCATTTAAAATGTATGTCCTGACATCAGTTGTTGTTGTTGAAAAATCCTAAATTTACTTAGCTAAGCGGGACAGATATTAAATAACAAAAATATTTATATAATAATTATGAAAAATATTGGTTCCTATTGTTTTGTGGAAATAAATGCAGAGAGTTACCTCGACAAAGAGCAAATGGCAAACTCTAGAATTCAATAGCACACAACCACTCACAACCTGGGACAATAAGGGACAATTATAATGACCATAATTGCCACTTCTATTTATAGTATGTCCCTCTTCCCCCAGGGAACCCTGATTACTATACGAATGTATAAATTATTTCTCTGGTGTACAAGTTAGATGTTTTTCCAGCACCTTAAGTCTTTCAGACAGAGATTGTAGTAAAATAAGGTACACAGAAGCCTAGGAGAAGGCAATTGCCTTTACGACCATGACCTACATGTTTAAATGATGTTTGTGAAGACTTTTGATTTGTAGGAAGAGGGGGAGAAAGTGAAGGGATTAGGAAAACAGCAGCATTTAGGGCTTGGAACTCTGTCATAATATAAGAGAAAGGGACACTTTTTCCTTCCCAGCTCCTAGCTGCCAAGAATGTGTACACACACAGGTACTCAAAACACAAACCCATCTCACTTATATCCATGTGAATTTCACAACTGCTTTCTTTTATATACTCTGTCCACTAGGTTACACACTTTTCTGGTTGCTCTCCCGCCTTGGATAATATTTTGTTCAGACTATTTTTAAACCGCTATTCATATAGCCACCTTACAAATCCTTCAAAGAAGATGAAGCCTTTTTCATCCCTTCAGGTAAAATGAAGCTCCCCTACCTTGGATGTCCTGAATCATTATATCTGCACTTGTATACAGGCAACTGCTAGTTTTTTCCTGAATTTGAGCTATTTTTGCATAAGACCTCTCACGGACCAGGAACAACTTGAGGGTGGGTTTGCTATCCAATTCAACTCGGTATCCCCAGGGACTACCAAACTATGGTCCAGTGGATGAATAATATGTCTATAGCTTTGCAAAAATCATCTAATGATAAGTATTATAAGTGATTAAAACAGAATTTCCATCAAACACTTGACTTTTTAGAATCAACTTTACTGAGGTATAATTTACATACAATGAAACTCACTAATTCTATAAGTGTTCAGTTTGAGGAGTTTTGACACATTATATACGATGTGGCCTTCACCACAACCAGCATACAGACTAATCTATTACTCCCAAAGTTCGCTCACACCTCTTAGCAGTTAATCTTCCCTCACTGCTGGCCCTAGATAATTGCTCTCTTACTTTTGTCATTATGTATGTGATGTATATTTTCTAGAACAGCATTATTCAATAGAACTATCTGTGATGGAGGAAATATTCTACATTTTCACTGTTCAACATAGTAGCCACAAGCAACATATGGCGAAAGCACCTGAGGGAACTAAATTTTTATTTTCATTTAATTTTGATTGGAAAAGTTGAAAAATGAATGTTGGGAAAGGGCTAGGACCAAGGTACCTTCAGGAATCTAAATAACAGGGATTAACAGAGATGCACAGAGTCACTTCAGAGTGCCACAGAAGGAACAGGTCAGACCCAACAGGTTTTTTTTTTTTTTTTTAACTTGAGTCATTTACCTTAAGATTCAAATTCTCAGAAGGAAGATGCCATGTTTGGCTAGGAAACATCTGAACATCTTGATTGATGGTCCCAAGACTGGGGCAAAGAGAATTTCCAAAAGAGAATAGAGGTTCTAACAACCAAGGACAGAGCAGTAGGTATAGGGTAACAGATAATGATAAGATGCTGCCATGAGGGGTTAAAAGTGGATGGTTTCACCCATTCCTTAGAGCTCCGGCTGCCTATGGCTCTGTGATTGGAGAAGCTGAGTTTTTGTTTTAGAGGAATTGAACATCAGGGCTTGTCTTCTTCAAGTAATCCTGACTTACCCCTCTTTTATAACATGGACTTCAGGAGGGAACCTTTTAGCATTGGGGGTGGCGGAGTCAATTCATGAAGTATCACTCAGATTGAAGGGACTAAAGAGCTTGGTGATTTTTAGTTTTTTGTTTTTGTTTTTAAAGATTTTTATTGGGGAGTTGGGGGACGGGGAACAGACAAGTTGCTGTCATTTTGTTCTTCAGTCTAGTTGTGGAGGACGTTGCTTCACTGGCCCAAGTTGGCACCATCATTGCGCTCTTCCCGGGCGAGGCAGATCAGTCGCGGGCTTCTGGACGGCCGCTCACTGCGGCTGCTGGCCGCTCACGCTGGCTGCTGGCTACACACGGTAGCCCATGGCAACCCACTGCCACAGGGGCTACAGCCTACGCCGTCGCCGGCGACTCACGGCAGCCCAGCTCCAGGTTGAGCTGTTGTTCAGCATCTTAGCTGTGGAGGGCAGTGTCACTGGCCCTCATATGTGGGATCCAAACCGGGGCCCTCTGGCGTCCCAAGCCAGTTCTTAACCAACACGCCACTCTGCCGGCCTAGTGACTTTTAGTTTTAACATACCTTTTCTGTACCTATCTTCAGTCCAGACACATGATCTCTATTTTATAGACGTGGAAACCAAATTCTGTTTTGAGAGGGTCCTACTAAGTTGGGCATCTAGTAGGATTAAAGTTGGATCTAGGATTTAAGTGTGCTGAATTATGAATATATATATGTATATATATATGTGTATATATATATATATATGTATATTCAATGGAAAAAGCACATACATTACAAGCTTAGCCATGTGCTTCTTCTGATTCAAACATTACCTCCTTATATGATGAAATCTGGAATTCATCAAACAGAAAAAAAATGTATCGTTAAGCTAATATCTCAGGGTCTGCTGAGAAGAAAGAAGATGCTTCAGGGAGGTGTCTGAGGGAAGGGACACTCTGCTATTCAGAGGGCACACAAGGAAACACAGAGGGCAATAGGAGA